TAGTATTTCCTCCCCCCCCTTTCTCCCCACCCCCCCCCCCCCTCCCCCGTCTGCTATTGGAACAAAGAACAAGGTAAGCACAAACTGCATCTGAAATGCTGGCTTACAGCAGGTCTGACTCTTAAAATGTCCCACTTTTCTATCAAATTGCTATTTCATAAGGTAGCATTATATCCTCAGACCCACAAAGAAACAACAAAATGTGTGGAACTATTTTTCCCCCACTGTCATCTGTGGTTTCAGTAACGAGTCATATGAAAAGATCACATTTCACTAACCCAACTGAACATCAGGGCGCAAATATGTATATAGTATGGTGAAAGATTTATACAATCTGAGAAGAGCAATAAAAGTAAATAAAGCGTCAGAACTGAATTAAAATTAATTCTAGATTTAACATTACAGGTAGTCCTTGACTTACAATCATTTAACAACTGTTTGAAGTTACAGCAGCACTGAAAAAAGTGACTTATGACCAGTCCTTGCACTTAGGACTGTTGAAGCATCCCCACACTCGCATGATCTGGGGGAGATGGGTGGCATATAAATTAAATAATAAATAAATAAATAAATAAATAATCAAAATTTGGGCATTTGGCAACCAACATGTATTTACGAAGGATGCAGCATCCTGGGGTCACATGACTGCCATTTGCGACTTTCCCAGGGCGGCTTCTGACAAGCAAAGTCAGTGGAGGAAGCTGGATTTGCTTAATGACCATGGCAAAAAAGGTTGTAAAACCAGGTGCGACTCACTCAATGACCGCATTGCTTAGCGATGGAACTTCTGGTCCCAAATGTAGTCGTAAGTCGAGGACTACCTGTACCTCAAAGAATACAGTAGATGCAAATGACTGCTTAAAAATCAAGAGATATGTTGTAACATTTGTTAAATAGAAGGGCCTAGTCCAGATGTGATTAATTATTTAAAAACAGGCCAAGAACAAGCCTAGTGACCCCATGCCCAATCCTTACATCCCACCAATGTAACGTATACACTGACTTCTATTATGGTTTGACTGAATGGGGGATCTGTAACTTAATCTCCTGAACTGCAAAGAAGTTTCTGATTGTTTCGTTTTTATTTGCTTCACTATAAAGGATTACAGAATCACTGAGGTGAAGGAAAGTATTAGGTCACCAAGTCAGTTGCCAGGTTATGGGAACAGACAGAAAGAGCATTTGGTTTCTTTCTTCTTCTTTACATTTCCGCCTATTTAAAATATAGTTCTTTTCAAAGACAAAGAACTGAGCTATGAAACATATTTTTTAAAAAAATCAGAGTGTAAGAACACTCTGGAAGAGAAAATATAGTCCATTCTCACGCCAGATTTATCATCTTCCTCTAAGTTCTAGAAACAGACAGCTGGAAAAGATCTGGAAAATGTGAATCCTCCCAAATCTTCCGAAACCATAATAATCATGTTCTTGTGGCGCATCCGTCTCATGAAGATCTCCAAGCAGTCTTTGAACACATAACAGATCAGGAAATTCTGAAAGGTACAGTAACCGTGCCGCACCTCCTCATGTCTGAACAGGTTATAGGGGTCCCCACTATATTTTCATGCACCTGGCAAAGAACTTTGGAAGTGGAGAATCAACCGCAGGCCAATCACTGCAGTCGGGACTGAAAGTAGCTTTGAAAAAACGATGCAGGTAGATAATACATTAGGAAATTATTTTTTGTGTGTCGCAAGTGTTTACTATTGGAACAGGCAGGGGACGGTGAAACCCCTTTCTTCATAGATTTTCAGAACAATTCTTAAGGCCACAAAAATGTTTAAATGATTCACAAAGTCTGTTGAAATTCTACAGCTGCCTTTTCCAGACAATGTACTGATCATTCAGTACATTAGTGCCAAGCATGTAAGGTACACTGGATTCTTCAGCAAAGGTGTTTCACCAATGATTAATTGCAGGTATTTTTTTCTCAGCATTCAACTCCATCACAATCCTTTTTTGCCTTAAGCAAAGAGCTACAGTTTGCTTTCTTGAAATGTTGATTCAAGAACACAGCAAGCCCACTTCTTTGATTCTTCTAGCCAAATGATTTTAAAAAAAAAAATCTGTGATGGAACAAGCTATTAAGATTTCTTGGTGTATACATTGAGTAGTTTTTGGACTGAGAAGTCTTCATGGAGATTTTCATAGAAGAAGGTGATGGGAGCCAGGTTTGGGGTTTTCTTATCTACTGCTGGCCGCTTACAAGAAGAAATCTGACCAAACTTCTTTGCCTGCAGTACCAGGAATCAAATTTGACATCCACAGTTACCAAGACTCTAAGCCAAAAGGACTGTCGGTGGCCTTCACCGTAGAATGGAACCACCAGATTTACCATATGTACGTGGAGAAGAGAGAGAGCAAAATGAAGGTGAAATTTAAGGTATGCCATTGCTAACTGCAGCTGGGCCAAGAGGTTGGTTGGTTGGTTTTTATTGTTGCTTTGCCTACTGTAAGTTGGGAATGATTTCTGTGACCTTAGACATCAGCTATCTGGATGGTTGGTGTAATTATTGTTGGAACACAGTCTACAGTCACTGCTGTGAGATGGGCAGCCACGTAAATTATTTAAATGAATAAAAATGCTAGGACTGTACAGCACTCCAGAAGTTATTCAGAAGCAGAGCTTTGTGACCCCGTTACTGTTTAAAACAGCTGTGTCTTTTCTGGACTCACCATGGCTGCCCTAACTGCCACGTGATCTTGGGAAAAGATGCAACTGTTTTAAAGAGCTGCAGGCAGGGGTTACATTTGTGATCCCATGTGCACTGAATTATTTCTGAATCACTGTGCACCCACAATCAGCACTATTTTGTAAGTTCTGCACTTGCTGCATTATTGATAATCTCCTTAGTTGAGAATGCAAAACATTCTAGAGACAAGAGAGACCTGGAACTATAAACCTGACTATAAAATTCAGTGCTAGCTTTGGTTACAGCAGAGACAGGCAATATTTTGTTTGTTGGACAGGCACACTTAAAAGTTCTAAGATAGCCTGGATGCATTTGGAAAACCTGAATTTAAAAAGAATTCAATAGACTTAATCACATCCAAAGACCTGTTTATCATATTTATTAAGATTGGTTCAGAGGTAATGTCAAACTGAACTTTATATTAACTATTGTTAAGAGTTCAGATCACGAACTGTGTGGCTTCTGGATTTACCTAACCAAACAATCTGTGCAAATTAAATTCTCAAACTAGATATTAGGTCCTGGTTTGGTGGCTGTGCACTCAGCACACTGGGTGAGTAAAGTCCACAGTAATAATAGCCATTGGGGTCCAAAGAGGCCAAACTGGTCCCTGAATGAAAAATCATCTCCTTTCCCCTGCCATAGGTAGAACTATTTTGGAGAAGTCACTGTTTCGATTGCTCCCAATTAATTGCACCTCCCCCAACAAGTATAAAAGACCCAAACCACTTGCATGGATTGGAGTTTTAGACGGAGCTTAACTAACAAAAACGCAGAATTGGTTAAACGCAAAGAAGCCTCTCCCCCATCAGACAATTACAGCACCAAACCAGCTCCTTAGCCCAATCATGGGCTCTCAGACCCTTCCCAAGGGGGCACGGGAATCCCAGCCAGGGTTCTCCCTCTTTAAGACTCTATTCCCGCCATGCTGGTCTCCCTTCAGGATGGTCTGGTCTCCATTTCAGAAAGGAGGCATTCCCCAATACATCGAAGGAGACACCAGCAACATGATCTTCATCAAAACACGGTTTTCCGATGGCAGCAGGCAGTTTTTCAGATTTGAATCTGCCCTGGAACGTGGCTACTTCCTGGCCTTTGAGTGGGACCAAGACAGCCATGCAACCAAACTGGTTGCAAAGAAAATAGAAGTTGTGGACGAAGTGGATGAATCAATAAAGCTGCACCACGCCCCACCGCTCTGACAAGGAAACACAAGTAAAAAATAAACCTGGCTGCAAGCAGTAGAAAAGTGAAGATGTTAAAGGAGTAATTTGGTGATGTAAATTAAAAATCATTGTACTAAGGAAAGCTATACAAATACCTATAGCTTTGCAAGGAATTCTGATCCCAATCAATTAGCAATAAATGAAAATTAGATAATACCTAAACAGTCAACATTTTAACATTCTTGTCTATGCTTAGTCTAATGGAATATTTTTTAAATTGAGATTTTATATTTTTAATAAAAATTAAAATAAATCCAAACGTTTTTTCTTACTATTTCTTGGAAGTATTTTTGTACTTTGCACTAATTTTACAGCATTCAGATGAAGTGCGGGATGTAAATAAACTGATTACATTCTCTTAATGACTCAGTTATATGACCAAATCTCCACCCTTGAGAAGCAGTAAAAAGAGCAGTAAAAGCAAATATTCACAGCTGAATGTCAAGTTTGAAGTAGGTCAGGTCTTAAAACTAAAGCTTCCTTGAAAAGTAACTGCCTCGCAGAAAGAACATAAACAACGAGCTTTCTTCTCAAGAAAAATCTGCCTTGCCAAGGCGATGAAGTTCATTTCTGCACTTGCAAATGAACACAGATTATGATTTGGCAAATTTAAGTTACCCATTGTTTTTTTTAAACAAAACTGTTATGGATAAATTATTTTGATAACCAATTCTAGTTGTGCATAAGTTTACTAATAACTGTACTTCTTGCTTTTTTCAAATGATATATTCTTCTAGCCTGCTATTATAAACAGAACATTTCAAAATGCAGGGAAACTCCCACACTGTAATCAGAAAATAGATCTGCACAGAGGAAGGGCACCAGAAGTAATACCCCCTCCCCAAAATGACTAACAGCAAGATAGACTTTCTTCAAATACTGTATCAAAACTAACGGCCAAGATCAGCATCACCTCCTCTTAAACAAAGACTGAGATTTTTTTGGTCTGGAGCTAAGACAATCCAGTTGCAATCTCAGCATCGAGAAGTCAAACCGTCCCTTGTGGAGAAATCAGAGAAAGCAAGACAAAAGGGTGAACCTCAGAACACGAGAGCAGTTCTGGAAATCCGTTTACTTTTAAAGCAAGTTTCTAGATCTTGTGACTGAAAAGGAATACAAAGGCGGTTGTTTCTAAGCTCCACAGAGTGCATACGGCACTTCAGACATTGCGTACCCGGCCCACGCTAAGTTCATCCTCACGAAGGATGCGCAGAAGCTGGACCGGCTTTGGGTAAGACCTGATTCTGTGGCCTAAATGCGCACATGACTTCGGTTTGAGACACTTGAGTGCCACACTGAAGCTGAGATGCATAATGAGCTGAAGGGTTCCAGTTAAACCACAATCTGTTTTGCGGGCCATGAAAGGTACTTTCCCTCTTTTCTGATGTGTGAAAGCGCCTGACATGCAAGGACATGTCCAAACAAGGCTGTTTTCCAAACCTGCCCATATGGGTTCTGTGTCGATCTAATTTTTAGTTGATGATAATGATGTATCAAGTTGTACTTTGTACTGTATGTTTATTTTGTTACCTAGTTTGGGGGGGTAGAGTATAAATATATCCAAAACCTTTTACTTTTTTTAGGAATGTAAGGCGATATAAACTTAAATAAAACTACTCGTACTGTTTTCTTTTTTAAATGCTATTTTTTTCCAACTCCGCTCAACCATCAAAATGAAGCATAGATGATAAATCCGCCGAACAAAACTTGAAACCTTCAGAGACAACTGAAGGGGTAACGCCTGGATTTCAGAATCAAACAGTTATGGGTTGTATAAATCCTTTATTGTACATGGTTTAAACAAAAAAGTCTTCCCTTCTGCATTGCACAAGTTGCCGCATAACGTACGTCATTCATTGCAACAAGAGGGCCAAAAACATGAGACAGTATCAAAATGAGTGATGCTGCACCCAGGCTGCTGTTCAACAGGGAAACAGCAATCCATCTGCAGTGGCTCCCAATACATGCCAAAGCTTTGCCTGGGTGCTCTTCCCTGATCCTGGCCTGTTTCAGATTTAATTCTCTCCTTAGCAAGAAATCCCAGATTTTCTGAATGGCTACAGCTATGGACATGGCTATGGGTGTTTCCCTCGAGCCATGCTGCTACATGCAGAGCAAACCCTTTGTGGCTCTCTTCCCCACACTCAAAGACTCAATAATAACGTAAAGAAGCAGAGGCAGCAGTGAACAATGGCTGGATTCTGTTGGCGGGGCTCAGAGGCTCCACAGCATAGCCACAGCCCTGCAGATGCCCACGTCATGGTAGTTGAAGTAGCAGAGGCCAGCAAAGGTGACTGCTGAAAGCAGGTAGAGGCCAGCGTTGGCCAGTTTAATGGAGGTCTCTCCATGGACGTAGTCAGTTACAAGTTGCCCAAGGCCCCTGCAAGGAAGGGAGAAAAAGAAAAAGGATAGGAAGCGGGCGGAAAACACATTCAAATCCTTCCAAATATCTTCAGAACTGACCCTGGCTGAGTCCCAAATTAGCATAACTTGCAGTCGCTTTTCACATTACTCAGAAGGCAGTGAGAAAGCTCACTGTGGAAGTATGTACTCTCACTTCTCCTAAAGGGTTTTTCATTTGATTTTTGCCTATTTCTTCAGCGGAGGGCTGAAAAGTTCACATTGAGTCCATGGAGAATGACGCATGCAAGATCAGAATCTTGAACATGGGTCCAAAGAGGCGTGATTGCCTCCAAATGTTACTGCGCTCCAATTCACCCCCAACTCAACCCCCACTCTCAGGTATGGGAGTTCTTTGGAGCTTGAGGAGTTAAGTCCTCAAGGATAATGGGGGATAATGGGGGAGGACCAACTCTCCTCTAAGCAACAAGAAGTCAAAGGGAATTTTCAGGAAGCCAGGGAGAGGACTAAAGGTGCCAACCTTGTTAAATACAGCTGTGGTAAAAGACCAGGATGGGGACCTAGCTTCTGCAACACAAGTATGAGGTTCACTAGAGCCGTACAGGGCAGCACAACTGAGTCAGGGCGCTGTACCAGGTACAGGAATCTGCTTGGTCCTTAAGTCACTACATGTAACTGGGACAGACTGGGTTCAGGCGACATTGATGAAGGACCCCACCTGAAAGGGGTAATCACTGTTACCTTCCATTTCTCCTTAAGCCCCATTATTCTAGCTACTGACGGAACTTAGAAACAGATCATAGCCTGACGGCAGGACAAACCATCAGGCAGTTGATTCATCTTCTACTGTAGCCGAGCCTCAAGAAATATCAGCGCAATCACCACAAGAACCTCATGGCTGTTCTATTTTTCTATCTCTCAGTTGTTCGCCTGAGCTGGAACTGGAATCTGGACACCCTTAGGCGAGGAAAGAACCTAAGCACTGGTGGCAAAATGTTTTAATGAGCAAGAACGTGGTGGTGGTGGTGATGATGACATAGTAATACTACATACCCCTTTGGCCTAAAGGTGCCAAAGGGCGAGTCTGGGACCTTCTGGGGTACAGACATTCCCTGTCCTGTTAACTGAAGACAAAGGCCTGGCTAAGAAGCTATGCGGGTGGACGCTTTCTGTCCAAACCTGAGCAAGGAAGGTTACAAGGTGCGACCATGAATCATTCTGCGTGGAGAAAAAGGGAGGCAAGGTGGAACCACCATGAAATTTACTTGCTAGGCAAAAAAGCTACTGTATATACTCATGGATAAGCCAAGAATTTTACATGCCAAAATACACCCCCCAAATTGGGTTCAGCTTATCTGCGAATGGCCTTATCTGCGAGTATACTTGGTAATACTTTTTAAAAGTACCTGTATTTCCCATATATACTCATGGATAAGCTCATATGCAGATAAGCTGACCCTTGAATTTTTAACCAAAATACCATGAAAAATGCGAGTTGGCTTACCTGCAGATGGCACATTTTTCATGGTATTTTGGTTAAAAATTTGAGAGTTGGCTTATCTGAGGATGGGCTTATCCATGAACATATACATTAATTTGTAAGTCAGAACCATGAAGTCAGGCATATGCCCCAGAGCATTTGCTTGCTAAAAATCAGTGTTAGAAATGTCCTAGCTAGATTCAATACATTATTATTATTATTCCCACCTTTTTTATATGTAACTCAAGCAGCAAACATACTCCTCCCTCCTCCTACTTTTCCCCACCAACC